GAACAAACTGGATTGTTGGTGGTTGTTAATAATGTCCATTCTTTCTCACCAGAACAAACTGGATTGTTGGTGGTTGTTAATAATGTCCATTCTTTCTCACCAGAACAAACTGGATTGTTGGTCGTTGTTAGTAATGTCCATTCTGTATCACCAGAATAAACCGGATTTTTGGGTGTTGTTAATAAGTCCATTCTATATCATCAGCACATACTGAATTGGTGTTGTTAATAACAGGCTATTATCTTTTGCAAGTCCATGAACTTCTATCTGCTTTTGTTGTGTTTACCTATATGTTACACTTTATATGTTTTTCAACTGTATAGAAATGTAATGAAATAATTTTTAGTAAGTTGCATTGTTGGTTGTTTCAAGGAAAATAGTCTTAAACCAAATGATGCTTCTTACCTTAGCCATGAAATAATTTATAACATAGTAAAGAATTTGTAATTACAGACACAAACTTACTAAAACAAAATGAATTAAATACACATAATGCAAATAATAACTTCGTTTAGCCAAAAATCCATCATTTCTGTGTATAATCTTAGAAAGCCTTGTATATATTTCCAGTCAGCCCTGTCTGATTTAATGCAATGTAAACAATTACAATTTTTATTTTAATAAATAGTGTAGAAGGCATTTGTAAAGCAAAAACTTGTAATAACTTATGATTGAGTCACATTTAAATAAATGAAATGATCATGCAGTGAATGGAATTCTTCACTGTTTCGATGTTTCAGGTAGTTTATATTTGGACTTTATGAAAACAAGTGCCAGGTGTGTTCTTAGTAGCTAGTACACCAGGCTTTAAATAGGAAGGTTCAAAGTCTGAGCCAAGATAATCCTACTGGACATGTTCTAATCTTTCACCTGTATGAGCATTTTCATTGTTATAGTCCACTTCAATATTTGGTTAAGGATAGTTGCTGACTGACTGGTCTTCATCTTGTCAGCAGTTCTAAATTAGGGATGTCTATACCTGAATGTAGGGAGGGGTGTCTGCCATGGCTGTTTAGATTAAAAATATCATTGTGAAAAACTACAATAAAGTACAACACACCTCAAATTGCTTGTAAAATGTTCATTAAACAAATATATTAACCAAAAGAACAGATGAATGAAAATAAGTTAAATGTGGAGTGAATATTATAATTAGTACACAAAAATAATGTAAATATTCACTGGTTTCACCTTACCAGTAAAATAACTTCATTTATGATATAAGACGCATGCAATTCAGCTTTAACAGAATACAGACTTGACAGTTTCATCATAGTGAAGCTAAGGATGAATAGAAACTAAAGATACATGAGTTTGATCATTGCTGATCTGAAGCTGGCATTAACCCTATTGCCCCAGGTACCCTTTACTGCCCATGACACAAGGGCTTACTATCTTACATTGCAAATTTTTTTAAAGCACATTTTAATTTATGTTATACCAATTAGATTAACATAAAATCTTAACTAATAATCCATATTTTAATACTATACAAGTTTAAGTTCTTAATTCTACAAGGCAATATTTTAAAAAATCTTAAATTTCCGCTAGTGTGACACGTGACATTTTTTCTTAGCATGTCATCATCCCTATTTTATCCACCACCCCTTGAAAAATTATGAAATTAAGCATAAATTACTCTATAAAATTGTTATTGCTCAGACAAACCATAATTTTTACAGCCCTCAATTTTGTTTGGTAACAGAGCTATTGAATAGAAAATCAGACCCTTCCTGTCACATCCTCTCTTTCACAATTTGTTGATAGTCCTCTCTTATGTTTCATTATAAATAACTTATAACCAATAGAAAATCTAGGTTTTCATCTATCAAATGATGTATTG